TAAAAAAATTCTCTCTTTGATTTCCTCTTTGATCACTAATCTTCCTACCTTAATCCAACAGATTGGTATCAGAGCCCGTTCGATTAAAAAGTTGGGCGTTAAGAAAAGCTAAACAATGGCTTTAACAAATGGACAAGGAGTGGCTCAACTATCCATTCCTATGTTCAATGGAGAAAATTATGATTTTTGGTACTTGAAAGCTAAAACAGTTTTTCAAGCACAAGATCTGTGGGAACTGGTTCAAAATGGTTATAATGAACCAGAAGAAGGAGCATAACTCACAGATGAAGAAACAAGAACACTAAAGGAGACAAAAAGGAGAGATGCAAAATCTCTTGCTTATATTCAACAAGCAATAAGTGAAGTCATCTTTCCAAGAATCATGAGAGCCACAACATCAAATGAGGCTTGGAGGCTCTACGTGAGGAATTTCAAGGAGATACGACGTGAGGAATTTCAAGGAGATACACGTGTACGAAACATCAAGCTTCAAACTCTAAGATGTGAGTTTGAAAACTTGAAGATGAAAGATGGAGAAAGTTTAAAAGAATATTGCTCCAAAGTTGTTGAAATAGCAAATCAAATGCTATTGTATGGAGAAGCCGTTGAAGATAAGAAAATTGTGGAAAAGATCTTGATAAGTTTGACTGAAAAATATGATCCCATAGTCTCTATTATTGAGGAGACTAAGGACATCACAAAGTTTGACATCCGTGAGTTGATGGCATCACTACAAGAACACGAGCAAAGGTTGTTAAGACACTCCGAAAAATCTATTGAGAGTGCTTTACAATCTAAGCTCAATGTGTCCACAAAATCACAAGGAGAATCATCAAAAGGAGGCAAATCAGGCCATGGAGGAGGAAGAAATCAACGAGGAAACAGCTCCAATAACTCCAAACAAAAATGTGGAATTTGCAAAAGAAGCAACCACGTTGACAAGGATTGTTGGTTTCAAGGAAAGCCACAATGCAACCACTGCAAAAAGTTTGGTCATGTGGAGAAGGATTGTAGATTCAAGAATCAGCAACAAGCAAAAGTCTCTGAAGAAAAAGGAGAGCAAGGCCTGTTCTTTGCAAGCTGTCAAATGGCCAAAGAGAAAAATCACAATATTTGGCTGTTGGATAGCGGGTGCAGCAATCATATGTCCGGAAACAAAAGTATTTTTACAAGTGTGGATGACAAAGTGAAGGCCGAAGTGAAAATGGAAAATGGTGCCGTTGTTCGAGCAATTGGAAAGGGCTCAATCCGTGTCCAAACAAAGGAAGGTACAAAGTTCATTCATAATGTACTTTTGGTTCTAGATTTAGATCAAAATTTATTGAGTGTTGGGCAGCTGGTGGAAAATGGATATGCTGTCTATTTTGAAAATAATTGCTGCACAATTTATGATAAAAAAAATGAGGAAACAAATTGATGGCAAAAGTAATGGTGGAAAAAGGAAGAAGCTTCTCATTAACCTTCAATTATGGGGGAGAAGTAGCCATGAAAGTACAAGTGAAAGATGAATCCTGGCTATGACACAAAAGGCTAGGGCACTTGTACTTTAATGGAATGAAATTATTGCAGGAAAAAGAAATGGTATATGGGCTGCCAAAAATTGAAGAAAAGGATGGAGTTTGTGAAGGATGTGTTATGGGAAAACACCATAGAAACTCATTCCCTCAAGGCGGAGCTTGGAGAGCAAACAAAGCTTCAATACCGATGTGTGCGGTCCAATGAGTACCACATCTCTTGGAGGTAACAAGTATTTTATCTTGTTCATTGATGACTATACACAGATGACTTGGGTTTATTTTATGAAACAAAAATCCGAGGTGTATGGCATTTTTAAAAAATTCAAGAGCCTTGTGGAAAAACAAAGTGGAAAATATATAAAGGTGCTAAGAAGCGATCCAGGTAAAGAATATACCTCAAAACAATTTGAGAAATTTTGTGAGGATGAAGGCATTGAAAGACAACTAACCGTTGGGTACACACCACAACAAAAGTTGTATCCGAAAGAAAGAATCAAACGGTTGTTGAAATGGCAAAAACTATGTTGAAAGAGAAAGGAATGCCAAATACTTTTTGGGCTGAAGCAGTGTATACGACGGTATACTTGATAAACAGATGTCCGACCAAGGCAATGCAAAATAAGACCCCCTTGGAAGCTTGGACCAAGAGGAAACCTTCAGTGAAGCACTTGAAAATTTTTGGGTGCATTTGCTATGCTCAAATCCCGAAAGAAAAGAGGAGCAAGCTTGATGAAACAAGTGAGAAGTGCATTTTTGTTGGCTATAGCTCAAAATCAAAGGGCTATAGAATGTATAGCTTGAAGAGGAAATATGTCATCACAAGCAGAGATGTGTTGTTTCATGAAGGAGTCAGTTGGAATTGGGAAAAGAATGAGGCTACAAAAAATATAGCGATAGCTGAGAATGAAGAAGAAAAAAAGGAGGAAGAAGTTCCAGAAGCTGATCCTTCCTCACCTTCAAGCAACGAAGCAAGCTCTAGCACTTCGAGTCCAACAAGTACTCCGGTTAAAATGAGAGACCTTGCTGACATTTATGCTTCATGCAACTATAGCATGGTTGAGCCAGCAAGTTTTGAAGAAGCAGTTAAGGAGGAAGTTTGGAAGAAGGCTATGGCAGAAGAGCTATATATGATTGAGAAAAATCAGACTTGGGAGTTGGTAAACAAGCCAGCAAATCGAAAAATTATTGGAGTAAAATGGATTTACAAGATAGAAAATAATCAAGATGGCTCCATCATGAAGCACAAAGCAAGATTGGTTGCAAAAGGGTATTCACAACAGGCTGATGTTGATTATCATGAAACTTTTGCATCGGTGTCTCGTAAAGATACAATTCGGACACTTATTGCATTAGCAGCACAAAAGGGATGGTTATTATATCAACTTGATGTGAAATCAGCTTTTTTGAATGGTGAACTTGAAGAAGAAATTTATGTTCATCAACCTGATAGCTTTGTGATTAAAGGAGAAGAAGATAAAGTATACAAGCTCAAGAAGGCCTTGTACGGGTTGAAACAAGCACCTCGGCAATGGTACAGTCAAATTGATAAGTACTTCTTGCAAAGTGGGTTCATTAAAAGCAAAAGCGAGCCTACTCTCTATGTCAAGAAGCAAAGTAACTCTATTCTTATTGTTGCGATTTATGTTGATGATCTGATTTTTACCGGTAACAATGAGGCTGCAGTTACTGAGTTCAAAAAAGACATGATGAAAAGATATGAAATGAGTGATTTGGGTCTACTGCATCATTTTCTTGGTCTTGAAGTTACTCAAGAGGATGATGGAGTATTTGTTTCTCAGCAAAGCTATGCTGAAGCAATGCTTATAAAGTTTAATATGTTTGGGTGCAAAGCAGTACCAACACCACTCGCTTCAAATGAGAAGCTGATGAAAAATGATGGTGGAAGAAAAGTGGACATCACTCTTTACAGAAGTATCATTGGTAGTTTGATGTATCTAACCCTACGAGGCCTGATATAATGTTTGCTACTAGTTTGTTGTCAAGGTTTATTCAAAGTCCCAGTCATATTCACCTTGGAGCAGCCAAACGAGTTCTTCGTTACATCAAAGGAACCTTGGCTTATAGCATCAAATATTTCAAGGGTGAAGAATTAACTTTAATTGGATTTTGTTACAGTGATTGGGCAGGTTCAAAAGATGACATGAAAAGCACATCTGGTTTTGTGTTTCACTTGGATCGGAAGCATTTTCTTGGAAATCAAAGAAGCAAGTAACAGTAGCACAATCATCAGCAGAAGCTGAATATATTTCAGCAGCAATTGCAACTTCTCAAGCAGTCTGGCTTAGAAGAATTTTAGAAGATGTTGGAGAAAAGCAAGACAACGCAACAAAGTTGTTTTGTGACAACAAGTCAACTATAGCAATGGCAAAGAATCCGATTTACAGCAGCAGAACAAGGCACATAGCAGTGGAGTATCACTTCATCAGAGAAAACGTTGAAGAAGGAGTGATCGAGCCAAAGTTTTGCAAGTCCGAGGATCAAGTTGCGGACATTTTTACCAAGGCGCTACCCAAGGAGAAGTTCATCAAATTTCGTGAGCTTTTGGGAGTCCAAGAACAAAACATTAAGGGGGAGTGTTAAAATTAATGTATTGTCTTGTCCCCATTTGTCCACATTAGTTCACATATGTCCACATTTGTCTAGACTTGTTCACATATGTTCAAACTTGTCTACACTAGTCCATACTAGTTCACATTAGTTCATGAACTAGATTAGTAGCTACATACATGTACTAGGGTGTGAACTTATTTATGTAATGTGTGAACTTATGTGAACATAATTAGTATGTCCACATAAGAAGTAGACTAGATGCATGTAGGAGTTTTACTGTAAATACCCCATGTATTCTAGCCATTTGAATCATCAAACCAAATTAAGTGAAATTAAGAAAGTGAATGAAAACTATCCTTCACAAATATAAAAAAATTCTCTCTTTGATTTCCTCTTTGATCACTAATCTTTCTACCTCAATCCAACAGTTTTCCATACAAGCAGCAAATTGTATCCTCCACTTTGTCTGTGCTGTAGTCCTGTGATAGCAATAACATTGCGCAAGCTTTGATACTAGTTGTTAGGGTCCAAAGATACTCTTAACACGGTGTGATATTGTCTGCAAAGGCTTCACGATTTTTCCCAAAAGCCCTCACACCATTAAGAGTATCTAACTCCTTATAAGTAGCTTATTTTTCTTTTCTACTTTTCATGTGGAACTTTGTTCACACACCCAACAGTAAGCTAGTAGTCCTGTGATAGCAATAGCATCTCCAAGTTCTTTGAATGTCCTAAAGAATTGGGTACTCTTGTGATAGCTGTGGCCGCGGCATGCACTTCTCTTAGACATTCCAACTTGCCCAAATCATCAGGCAATTCTTTCAGTTTTGAGCAACCGTCGAGGATCAGGATTTCAAGTGATTTTAAATCACAGATTCTATCTGGAAGTTTCCTTATGTTACAACAAGATGTCTAATTAAGACTACAAAGTCTCTCCAAATCTCCAATTGTTGAGTCCAACCCCATCAAATTTAGACAACCACTAAAGGATAATTCCTCAAGAAGATGTAAACCAGCAAACTTGGGAGACATCTTGAGGTTCTCACAATACCTGAATATCAATTTCTTTAAACACTTGAAATACTGTATCCAAAAAAAAATGAACAAAAAAGAATGGACATAAGTTTTTTTGTTTTGTTTTTAAGCTTCAAAAGAATAATAAATTTTGAAATTATGTCAGAAGTAATGTCAAACCTTCAAAGGTGCTCGGAATTCTTCGAAATTACTATAAGCCATGTCGAGAAGAACAATATTCTCCAGATAAAAATCAGATGGTATGTATTTCATTGGGCAAGATAATGGCTTCTATGGAAAGAGACAACAACAAACAACAACAACAACCCAGTAAAATTCCATAAGTGGGGTCTGGGGAGGGTAGTGTGTTCGCAAATCTTACCCCTACACCAGAGGAGTAGAGAGGCAGTTTCCGAAAGACTCTCGGCTCAAGAAGACGGAAAGATACAATAGATCCGTAACAGCAACCGAAGCTAGAAAAATAATATCAACATCGTAAGAGAGAGAAAATAGATGAAATAGCAATAACAATAACCAGTAATAACGACACAGTACTATGAGAGATCATTAAAAAGGGAACAAAGTATTATGATACCTTGTGTCTTATGAGCACATCAGAAATGTCATTAGGACACCATAATCTGCTACGTGCCCCTGGATTATCAGGTGATGCCATACGAACAATTTTTCGCCCCATATCACGAATCAAATTATGCATGCTCAGTTGCTCATTTTCATCAATTTTTAACAGTGATCTGTCAAATAATTCACAAATTTCAACTTCGGGGTAGAAACCACAAGCTTTGGATATACTTATTGCCTCATTCTTCTTGATTTTGGGATGAAAACAGGCAATATCAAGGAAAACAGCCTTAGTAAACTCATCAGGAAATCCATCAAAACTTGTTTTAAGTTTTGTAAGAATATCGTTAGGAGGAGGAGTCTTTAGTTTCTCCGAGGTACTTAACCACACTTCGATATTTCTACCGTGTAAATAAACGCCCAAAATTTCAAGAGCAAGTGGAACTCCATTACAGTAAGTTACAATGCTTTCTACAAGCTCACTGTAGTATTCAGGTGGTAGTGCACCTCTGAAGGCATGTGAAGTAAAGAGTTGTAAAGAGCTCTTGTGGTCTAATCTCATGGCTTCATATTGCTCATCTGTTTGTAGCTCTTTTAGCAAATGCTTGTCTCTAGTTGTTATAACAACTCTACTACCCGAGCGGAGCCAATCACGTCGTCCAAGTAATGCATTTAACTGGCATTGATCATCCAAATCATCAAGAACAATGAAAACCTTTTTCTGGCAAAGTCTTTCTTTGATCAAAGTGATGCCCTCATCAACATTGTATACGTTGATCTTTTTCCTAAGAATTTTCCTAAGAAGTTGCTCTTGTAGTTGAACTAATCCATTATGTCCTCTACAAGCCTCTGATCTCACATCATCAAGATAACGACTTTCTTCAAAATGATGAAAAACTTGGTCGAACACGGCCCTTGCAAGAGTTGTTTTACCCATTCCACCCATACCGTGAATCCCAATCACACGAACATCATCATCACAACCTCCTTTCACTACTGAAAAATTGGTCTACGGTAACGGTTGCAAAACCGTTCCCATAGACTACCAAACCGTTGCCATAGGGATATTGGAACGGTTTAAAGACCGTCACATCAGCCGGCGTACCCATAGGCCTACTGGAACGGTTCTTGCAACGGTTTGCATCGCCGTGACAATAGATACGTCTATTGCAACGGTTTTTCCTTTCTCTATTGGAACGGTTATTTTTTTCAATTGGAACGGTTTAAAACCGTTACTGTATTGTTTATACAACGGTTTTTAACTGTTACCATTTTATTTAAATAAACACTTATGTAAGCTATTGCTACGGTTATGTGGGATATAGCCACGGTTTCTTTAGGCTATCGTAACGGTTATATTTGTATTTGGTACAGTTTATGGGACCTATTGCAACCGTTTACATTGTCTACTAGAACGCCATTTGTGTCCTATTGCAACGGTTCTAGTAGGCTATTGTATCAGTTCAGTTAAAACCAAAATATAGCACATGTTATAAATAAATATTTATACATATAATAAATTATAATAACACAAAAATTTAAATACATTATAAAATGAAACTATTAATAATACAAAATTATCCATAAAGCAAATGTTCTACCCCATGAGTGCATAAGTTTAGTACATTTCAAGAGAGTAAATAAGTTTAAAAAATGTTGGTAACAAAAGATTCCTAGAACATTCATCTATAACAATACAAAATTCATTTCAAGGTCTAGTTCTTCATCGTCTTCATCATCCATTTCTTGATCTACTCCACCTACACAAGAGGATAAGTAAAGTTATTGCCAAAATGAACCTTGCGCAGATAAGTAAATAACTAAATACAAAAGAAGTCAACCAAGTAGAGTCTCAAAATCTATGTTCATATAAACCAATATGTGAGGGGAAACCCACACACATAACTTCAGAGCATGTATTCATGTTATGCACACATGTAATGGATAGCACATGGTGGATGCTAAAACAGGAGAAAAAATTTGAGCAGGCTGGTCTTCAGCAAGAAAAAGCAGAAGAATCTGGGGCTTTGAATATCGGGCAAGTCATTCCTAAGACCACTGGAGTGTTGGATATGAAATCTGGCCAAGTTACCTTTGCACACCTCCTTATGAAAGTGGAATTCAAGCATGAGATTATAAAATAATAGTAAAGTGGTTACAATTATAATGAAATACTTCCCACCAATAGAAAAATTATGTCAAGCACAAGACAAAAGACCGTGATTACATTCTGAGGAATACACCAAATTATAGTGGTAAGGCTGAACAAACACCAAATTGAAAGACTGAACTCATTAAACATGTAACCGCGAGTTACTGAGTGAAATGGGAATATCATTGAACATCTATGTTACACTGACTCGAGTATTGGTATGTATCCGGGTATAGGTTACAGGTGAGTATACAACACCTACATGTCCAAATATTAAGAAGTCTTAGTGTATATTTAAGGATCTGCCAAGTACCCATACCCATGTGATATCTGCTCAAACGGGTAGGTATTTCGTTTATAATATAGTGAATAAAAGTTGAAGATGAAGAACACAAAAACTATAGATAAAAGAATATTTTCTGCGATAGAAAGAAGCACCTTTGGAATAATCAAGATATACAGCGTCTACCTGAACAAAATGGACAAGTTCAACCTCGAAATGGACTTCGTCAACACCTTCTACCACAGGCATTAGAGGTGATTCTGTATAATATTGACTTTTAACGTAAATCACTGCTTTCTCTCCACGTGACATGGTCCCCATTCCCAGTTCGAGACCTTTGGGTACCTAAAGTTGGTGAAAATAGAATCCAAGATTAGATAATAGATCTTTTGTCACATACCAAAATCACATTTTATTTAATACCACGAAAGCCATGGAAAAGTAAGCTGGGAAGTTATAGATTTAGCCAAGCCTCACCTTCAACCAGAGCTCTATCCCTTCACCACTAACAAAGAAAGAAACAATACCCTCTCAGTTATCAAAGTAATTCAAAATCCTATCTCTTCCATGGATGAGGAAGGCTCTTTTAGTTCCACTCAGGCTACTACTCCTTGAGGCATGCGATTTCGGAAGGTCTCTCGTTGTTAACAGTGTCATATGATAGTTAGTTCGAGCAGATAGGCAGTATGATAATTTCACTATATCAACACTATCTTCAAATCTTTTCCATCTTCTTCTTTAATACTGTATATTTGTGGCTATACAGTGAAAGTTTAACGACGTATTGATTAGTAAACTAAAATTGAACCACAGATACCCTCTCCTATATGTGACTTCCACGAATCTGGAGAAGTTTTTCCAAAATTGAGAGCTTGAAACATCATCAGGCAGCAATATATGCTGGTACTTTTTTTGTAATCCTTTATGCTATTTTTTCCTCATTCACTTTTCGAAATACTATCCCACTTTATTTAGATCCTGAGATTTAAGTCTATTTCTTTTTTATTTTCTTTCCTTGGAAAAATCACTGCTTGGTAGAAACAGATTTGTTGATATTCTATAGAATCAAATCAAAGTATAGGAAACGGTCTCCATATGTGCATGCTCAACGTAGATAGTCCATCTTGGATAAAAGAAAAGAACCATTAGAGAGCTATAAGACATAGTTAATGGAAGATAGTCTCAACGGAAACTAAGTGTTTAAGTATCAAAACCAGCTCCATTCTACCACATTATTGAGAATAAAGAGATAACAATGAAAACTACGCCTTAGTTCCAAATAAAGTTGGGATCAGCGAATATTATACGACAAAGACAATATCTCAAAAAAATAAATTATAAATATACTAATACATCAAAAGCAAAAGAAAAGTTGTGCATGTACTTGTATGAAGAAGTAAGGTTATTTCATTGACCTTTTAATAAATTTTTTGCTCGTGTTTTCCTGAATGATTAAAATAGACATTGATAATGACAGTGCTGCTGCAATTTCAGAATGGGCTCCACGAAGCCAATAAATCTACCTTCAATTATAATCCAATCACCCAATAATATAAATTAGATATTTAAAGAAAAGATGTAGAAGTTGGTTCACCATATATGAGGCTCAATGAGACCTTTTATTATACTTAGTAACAGTTGCATCAATCATGGCAATAAAAAAGATGATTGTAGCGTTTGATCACCACTATCTTAGTAAATAATTAATGAAGATGCAAGTTATATAATTTTGCACTCCATTTTCAATGTGCTTAATCACATAAAGAGTTGATTCTTTTTACAGTTTGACCTTCAAGCAAAATTTTGGCTCGCCCACGATTTAATATTAGCTACACAATCAAATTCAAGAAAAATTAATGTAATAAACAGAGAAAATATATTTCTTCTGAATGATAAATTTCAGTCACAACTGATCATCAGCTAGAGCAGAGCGCATCAATCTCTTCCAATATTGGCAGAACTGATAAAATGGTCACGCTACTTTGCAAATTTTACTTCCCATAAATTCCAAAAAGCAATAGAGCAAAATGCACAAACAACTAAATTCAATGTTTAAAGACAGAAGGCTGCAATTATAAGAGAAATTGTCATATATCTACAATTGACTTGCATGCAATTCCGGGGAATCTCTAGAAAACAATTAACACCCACAATAGTTAATGATTCTAAAAGGCTCACCTTACACTTTTGTCTCAGAGAATCTCTGCAGCACCGTTGTCATCGGACGAACTCAAAATATCAGGAATAACATCACCAGAAGTTTTTCATATCTAGTTATGGAATTTCAATGACTTAGTGTCAAAGGAGTCGGCTTTCTTGGTCTTTGAGTCAGCAGAACTAAACTAATAAGAAATAAGAAAGAGAAAAAACTTAAATGAAATTGATAGAGACAACCAAGAAAGATGAAGTAGAGGAATGAGAGAAACAAATGAAAATTCAATGAAATGCAACAATATGTTGTTACCATGTCGATCATGGTAACTACATACTTCCAGAATCCACCCGTAGAAGCTCGAAATACAATGCATTGTTACTTCACCCGGAAATAATCAAAACTCTCGATCCTGAATTATATCTTTATACCAACGCGTTTAATCCCAATATGGCGTTCAATTCTTTGGTCCAACTCTGAGGTAAAACTTTGATGGAATGCTCAAAAGCTTAAGTTCAAACCCTAGGTCAAATTACCAAATTGCTAGGTAATTGAAATTAGTTACAATTAGTGACATGCACGAGCAATTTCTTGCTAGAAATTTCATTCAGAAGAATATAAATTATTATATACCCAAGAACTCAAATTACCAACAAAGGAACTGGAACAAACTAATTTTTTTATCAAAATAGAGAGTTCAATCCAGATAATAAATAGAACAAAGATAGACAAACATTGAAATAGTGAGACCTATATTCTAATTACTGATAAAAAGGTGCAAGAACCAAAGAAAGATTGCAGAAAACACTCACCAAAGCGAAAGCTTCACTGAAAGAGTGAAGAGTAGAAAGAGGAGAGGAAATGTGAAAATGGGAATGGAACGAAAATGAGAGAGAATACTTCTATATGTGTTTCTATGAAAATTTGCGTAATTATAAACCCTAATTATAAGCATAATTTCAGGTCCCCCCAAGTCCCGTTTCTATATTATAATAATATGAAATAGGAAGTAAATATGTGCACCCTTTTCCTGAGTACCAATCTTTTGCAATTCTGTTCGAGTAGAACACAAAAAGGATACAAACGATTGGCCTTCTCATAACCAAAACAGATCCAAAAAAAGAGCGTTGGGTATCAAAACGTAATAAAAGTCGAATCTAAGAAGAGAACCAACTCTAGCATAATTCTAATTAGATTAGATCTAAGAAGAGGTATGAACATATACCAAGCTTTTGCAATTTTGTTCTAGTAGACTTCTTGCTTGCCCGTAAAATGTAAACTGCACTGAAGTTAAAATCTGCGCCACTTTTCCAAATTAATAAGAAAAAGCATAAAACACAATCAACCAAACAAATCATGCCTCAATCCCAATCAGTTCGAATCAGCCATACAAATCTCATATATTCATTCTCGCTTTATTCACACCTGTTTCGTTCCAACACTAAGTAATTTGTTTCTTACAACAACTAGGGGTTTCTTACACTAATTGGGGTTTGGGGCTTTGGGAACTCTAAGGTTTGATGATTATGGTGGTCTAATGAAGAGGTATTAGTTGAAACTTGGCCATTAATCTTAGATGAAAAAGAAAAGAGATCAGAGAGGCGCGATTTAGGGTTGTATCGATGAGGGAGCTCTGGTGATGATGAGGGAGTTTGGATACTGGGGAGCTACGTTTGAGACTTTGGGTGTATCGATATTGGGGAGCTAATTTTTAATTATTGTTAAAAATTAAAAAAAAATATGACAGGTCACTAATTAGCTTGGCGGGCCACTAAAAATTTCAGCGGAAAAACGAGAGGGAATTGAATACCCGTCCCCATAGCAATTTTTTCCCAGAACCGTTGCTATATACAAGTCTATTAGAACGGTTAACAAAACCGTTGCGACACAAAACTCTGTGGCAACGGTTTTTGTTACATTGGCAACGGTTTGATATCTAAAGTGTGCTGGTACCTCCCAAATTCTGTTGTAACGGTTTGAACCGTTACTATATCACCTCTATGGCAACGGTTTGTGAACTGTTACCAAAAAAAATGTTCCCATAGGTCCATTTTCTCGTAGTGTTTGAATAATAAATTCTCTATTTGATCAACACGGAAAAGTGCCACGAGGTGCTTGCTAACGGAGAGGGGATGTCGGGATTTCACTTCCTGTAAGACTTCCTCAACAATTGTACCCACAAATTTTGACTCAAACCTGCCAATTAGTTTTTGTTTTAAAAAGAAAGGAATTGAAGTGGAAAAGTTTGATCAGCACAGCAGAATGAAAATGCAAAAAATAAAGAAAAATAATTGAAAGACATTGTACTTATTCAGTCTGCTTTAGCTGAAATCAGAAAACAAATTGTATCAACAGATCTTATCGCCCCAAAACCAAAAAAAATGGAAGTACCCATAAATTAAGAATCAAATTATAAAAAGAAATATTACCCTTCATCAACATATCGGAGATCCCACCCTTATAAATTACCAACTTGATTGAGTGCAGCTCCCCAGAGTTGAATGCTTTGTTCTGATTGAGAAGGAGTTTTATGTCTTGCAAAAGCTTCAGCAAAGATTCCAGTTTGCTTACGCACATCAGAAGGATCAACATCATAGAATATAGGAAGAACTAACCGTCTGGACTTCTTCTTGAGTTCAAGAATATGCAAAAGCTCGTTAAGACACTCTATAGATGATGCATAGTTTCTTGAGAGAACAATTATGAAAATGATTGATCCTTCAATTGCATTCGGGACTTCATGAGACGAAACATGTTCATCCTCAGACCTGAATGTGTTGATCCAAACTTGGCAAAGTGTTGAGTAGAGATGATCTACAAAAGTTTTTGACGTATCATCAACTCTATAACTCAAGAAGACGTCATACTTCCGAGGACAGAGTACTGGAAATGAAAGCTGAGAACGACCTTTGTGATCAGCCATTGAAAAAAAGCTGGGGAAGAGAAGCTGGATTTGATGACAGTTTGATACGGAGAGAACTATATAATAGCCTTAAGATGATGACTTTAGTTTAGTTTTTCATAATTTCTTTAAAATGCTTCCTTTGTCACTATCTAGCTCCTTTCGTTCTTCCTCATTTTTTTATTTTGCTTTGCCATTACATAACTTTTGTTTGAAAAGCTTTTAGTCTTTTGGGTTGATTAAACTAAGAAAGGTTCTCCAAATTATTTTAAGGTGGTTATTGTTGACTTGTTCAAAGACCTCAACTATCCAAAGGCTTTTCTCCTAATCTTGAAATTAACCTTCTAGTCCCCTCTGGTTCTATTTAAAAGAATGACATATTTCTATACTCAACAACAATTTAACTTTACAATTTTAGTTTTACCCATCACTGTTGGAAGTGTCTAGAAAGCTATCACGAGGTATTTCACACCTCGCCTTTTATCTTTTTCCAAGGGTGCCAGTTAACTTGACAAATTCTGCTAAAGCGTCTTATCCCTCGTTCACACTCTTTTGGGTGAGTGATGACTACCAGAGACAGTTAAGGGAAACGACATTCAGTGTCAACATTGTAAGATAGAGATGAATAACTCAAATAAATAGCAATCTAACACGAAACATAGTCAAAACAGTAACTGCTTTAAAACGATTGCTCAAAATAGCCGTAGCCCATACTGTCAACATATTTTCGAAATTAAGCTTAGAGAATGTCTAAAATAAGCAGGCCCTGCAAGAGCTCTATAAGCAAATGAACTAAACATCTTTTTAAGTGTTGGTTGCCCTGGTGTAGATCTGCTGGCTAGCATGAGCGGACACCATCCTGATCGAGCCTCTGGCCATCAAATCTCTTATTGCCTTCCTAGCAAGTGATCCACTAATCTGCACATTCAATCAAATGAACAAATTAGCAAAATTACAATCACATCGGCCAACAAACATATACACTGAATCAATATTTTGCTGCCAATTACAACCAAGTACTAAAAACATCAACCCACAACAATTTTTTGGATGAAAATTTCATATATAAGAAATGCATGAGCATACACAGATAATCACCAAGTACATTGCAGCAAACTACACTCAACAACAAGAACACAATATCAAAACATTAGTTCATAATTCCACATGGCACATGCTTTGATAGTCATCCGATTTGTGCACATGTTATAACATGAACAGAACATATAGCCAAGCAGAAACAGAAAACGGCCAAAACCATGACACACAACGCGCCACAACACCCTCTAGGACACATTCAAAATGACTCACAAAGACTATACATCTTGGAAACCAACACAAGGAAAATATTTTATTAAATGCACAAGTGATACTGGCAGAAACCCATTAGGTACTGGCAGAAACCCTAGAAGCAGGCAATGGAATCACAACTAACAAACATCAAAGCAACGACAAAACCTAAACATCTAAATTGTCATGTTATTTGTTGGAGGAGCATCAAAAGTAAAATTTGACTTTACAATTTCTAAGACACTCTGCCGATCCAAGGACGATTTAAGACAAGATCACCATTAGTAATGGTTCTTATTTCAACCACTATACTACCTAAAACCTCATAATAGTTCACACTCCCGCAACATATTATCTATTAAGCTATCAGAACAAGCTTGACTAATTAGCTTCTGCTTCCACAGTATTGTCAAATATAATAGTATCATGGTCAAGGCAATAAACTCTATATACATCTCTTAAGAGAAGCATGCCACGCTGATATTACGGCAAACATCAAGTTCCTGATACGGTATCAGTGATACCTAAAATCTACACTTGACTATTAAGGCAGATTCCACAACATATTAACTTTATTAGAATAGACAACGACAATAGATCTAATGCAGAATAGCCATTACTCAAAACGAAACAAGAAGTATAAAATAAATAAATAAAAAAGAAATCACCAGATTCAAAATAAAAATTAAATGGAAAACATACCCTGAGACGGTCGGACAGGACAGAAGGAGTGATAAGCTTGTATTTAGGCGCTTCAGACAGGAGCTTATCGTACGTAGCTTTGTCAAACAATACCATGTTGTTCACCTTTTCCTTTTGCTTTCCCTTGCTCCACTTCTGCAAAATCCAACAATTCAAATTTACATAAGTTACCTTCAAAATTAACCGCACATAAAAATCAAACAGTAAAAAAACAAAAAGAAGGTGACCTTCTTCTTCTGCTTGCCACCACCGGACTTTGCAGGCTTGGAAGATGGAGGTGGAGCTGCCTTCTTTGGAGCCTACAAAAAAAGGTGGAGAAAAACAAAATTCAGATATTGAATAAAGTTAGGTAAAGTTCACGATACTGGAGATGACAATTCGGAGGCGGAGAGCTACCATTGAACAGAGAACAATGAACAGAGAGCGGCGGAGTTTTGAGGTAGATATGAGAAGAGATGTAAAGAAGGATATGGCGATATAAAAACCTAATGGGGTTTCTAGGGTTTATATTTGCCTCAAAATCGCAAAGCCCATTATTACATATAAAGAAGGTTAGATAACTGGGCTTTCGAATGGGCTGTGTAGCCCAATCTACATGTTGCTGTGCCCTGAACTTTTACAAAAAAGTATTTTGGATGAACCTCTTTAAAATTACTAAAATTTGAGAAAATAACCTTGCGCTAGAATTTTAAAGCACGCTCCTCAAAATTTTTGGGGAAATTTACCTAGTTATACTATAATAGAAATTTATTTACCACTTTTCTATACGTTCCTTAAAAATTATATTCTCTATCTATATTTACTACTTATATACAAAAAAATCTTAATAAAGAGAGTATCCCTTAAAATTAGAATGTAACTAAAATAACCCCTTCCCCCCTCCCACCTCACTACCCCCCCCCCCCACCAGTCTCATATATATCAGTCATACAAAGCCCCTAAATCATGTTTTCATCTCATTTTCAAAAAGATTTCAAAAAAATTCTTAATCTTCCATACAAATCAACCCAAATCTCTCCTTTTTCACACAATTCCATGAACATTATTTCTAAAAATGTAGCAACAAAGTATTCTCCATTGACAACTATTTTAAAAAGCATTGAATTCAATATTTGGATTTTACGAATTTGTGATTTGTTTAGATTGTGTGTTCATGCAAACGATTGAGATTATACCTTGGAGTTTATATCTCAATTTTGAGGGAGATTGGTTAAGTTTAGATTTGTTTTAGGTAAAATTTCAGATTGAAACTCGAAAAAAGAAGAAGTTTGAGAGTTGTATCATGATTGTATGATAATTGTATCACAATTGTATCAATAATCGGGTTTTATGAATTTGTGATTTGTTTTGAATTGGGTGTTCTTGCAAACAATTGAGAATATACTTTAGAATTTATATATCAGTTTTGATAGAGATTGGTAAACTTTAGAGTTCGTTTTAGGTAAATTATATCGAAACTCGAAGAAGAAAAAGAAGTTTTAGAATTGTATTACGATTGTATGATAATTGTACCAAATTTGTTTCATAATTATATCACAATTGTATCAAAGTTCTATATGTTACATCAATACCTAAAATAATACCTGATACAATACTAATATAATTATAATATAATATTATGTCAGACTTTAAGTTTAGAGTTGTGATTGAAACTTGAAGAAGATGAAGATCAGAATTGTATAACGATTGTATCATAATTATATTTATATCTTAATTGTTGCAGAAATTGTATATCATATGTATGATAATTTTATATTAGTTGTATATGGCCATGGGCAATTGTATCCAATTTCACATTTGAATTTGTACGAGCCATTATCTTATTAATAATAGTTTTGCTAGAGTTTAAGGATATTTGAATTGTTGAAGAAACTTGGTTAGAAATTGAATATTTGTTATATCGCTGACATTTTCGTGTGTATAGATTTGCAACTGCACAAAAAAAATTTTTGTTGCTATTCTGGAAAGCAGTCCGTGTTATTGGATTTGTTAGATTAGGGATCACTTTCTTAATATTTTAAAGATAATAGGAACATAGAATTTTCCTTTATGACGTTATACCCAGTATTATGGTTCCAACCAAAACCATTCAATAATGAAGCAAAATTTCCAGCTTCTTGTTGAAGACGTACAACTATCAAAGAGAGAGAAAAGGAGATCTACTGAAGAAATTAGGATGCAAAGAATGAGGAGAAGAGACAAAAAGGAAATGATATAATTAAATTCATTAATTAAAGGCATTATTAATGGGGTGAGAGCCTCTTAAGGGGGAACATATACAATTTGTAAGTAAAACTTAGATACTTTTTGAAAACTACAAAACCTTGAGAAAGTTGGTAAATAAGTTCCTATGCGAAAAGTTCCTATATAT